GATTTTCTCACCTCAATAGACCTCACAGAGGCCTACCTGCATATACCTATAGCCCCGGAACACCATCAATATCTCAGGTTCTGCTACCTAGGGCACCATTTCCAGTATAGGGCCCTGCCCTTCAGGTTGTCTTCTGCCCTCAGGATTTCACTAAGGTAATGGCAGCATTGGCAGCGCACCTGAGGCAGGTACCTGTGCGTATTCAATGTTATTTAGATGACCTGCTGTTACAGTCATCCTCCTTTAAGGGTGCCCTACAGGCACACCTTGGACGTGAGGAGGGCTCTGAGGATTTGCCTCAGAAGAACCAGGCTGAACAGGAAGTTGGAAGCCCTATTTGTCTCCTTCCAGCCAGGCTCCCTGGGGAAAAGGGGACATCCACCACTATAGGCAGGTGGTTGTGAACCTGTATTGCTATGGCCTATCAAGCATGGGGTCTGCAAACGCGACCTCTATCACAGCACATTCTACACGATGCACCGCCACATCAACAGCCTGGGCCACGCAGGCCTCATTGACTGAGATCTGTAGGGCAGCCACACGTGGTCTTCCCTCTTACCATTCATGAGTAACTACAAGTTGGACCCCTTTGCTTCCGTGGAAGCCTCATTCAGACGTAGAGTATTGCAAGCTGTTCACAGGGCGGGGGTGACATCTCACCAGGCATAAATTTGGGCATATACTCAAATGTGTAGCCCTCCCTAGGGACATGTAGGCTTTGGTACATCCCATCCTGAATACTCCTCCCCTCACTATGGAGAAAGGGTGTTGGTACTTACCTGATACACCTCTTCTCATAGTGGGGGAGGAGCATCCAGCCCCTCCCTGATATGGTTATGTAGCGTTCATTATGTGGTGGTTGAACTGTTCTGTTGAAGCAATAAATAAAGGTTTGAAACTAAAATAAAGTCTAGAGTGGATGACACAGCGAGTGGGATAGAGTTATTCGCCGATACCTGGGTGGTACCTGGTGACTAGGGCATGGCCACAAAGAGCTTATCTGACTCAGTCCAATCAAGAGAGGACAAGGTCAACCCATCCTGGATACTCCTCCCCCACTATGAGAACAGGCGTATATTTATTTTCAATAAAATGGACGTTGACATTTTTATAATGACACCATTCTCCAAAGCAAATGGAAAGTTTAGAATGAACTATAGCGTATTCTGAAGAAGGAAATGAAAAAGTTTTTAGTGTGAAATCATATTCTTTTTTATGGAATTTTCCAGAAATTACACACACACACACACAC